GTCACGCGCAAGGGGAGAGAGTGGTGAGAAACCATAAGGCGTCGCCTCGTTGGCGCATTATATGGAGAAGCGCGCGTGGGAGAGAAAAACGATGGCCGGAGCTATGATCCTCTGCGACCACTCACACCATATCAACTTTCCTCTCTCTATCTAAATAATATATAAATAATAGTTCCCTCTTTTTTTTTTCATTTACTTATTTAATTGGATTATTGGAACTCTAATTCAATCATTGAATTGAAGGACATGAATCTTAGATGTGCAAAACCAAAATTTGGAAAAGAAAAATAATATTATTTCATTTTATGTACTTTTCATTTTGGTTCGTTTTGGTCTATGTATGTCTTAATTTTAAAAAGAAACTATTTTGATTCATCTATTTTCATGATTATCTCATTTTTTTCGATTATAATTTTAACATGATGCTGCACTTGCTAAATTTCTTGAAATATATCCATAATTTTGTATTAGATGAGTTTTGTTATGTACTTTACAAAGTATATGAATCGAAACAATTGTTTTGAAAATACAAGAACTAAAATGAACATAATTAATTGAAAGTACAGTAACCAAAAGGAACGTTTTGAAAATACAATTATCAAAATGAACCAAATTCAATAATATGGGAAGAAAGTAGTATTTAAACAAAATAATAACAATAATAATAAAATAAATAGTATTGTTAATTCAAATTTTAAACCTTTGATGAGACTTGTGGTTGAATTTAACTTGGTTGTTAAAAATTTATTCCCTAAATTTTGATATATCTATTTAATATAAAATTTTATTTATATCTCTAAAGTTTTTATTTTGAAGCTACGCTGTTGGTTAAATGTTGACATGATATATTAATTAAATTTATAAATGATGAATTGACATGATATGGTAACGAATTCCACGATGTGTATGCTAACTAAATAAAATGAGGTGGGTAATAAAAAAAATTTACTTTTAAATGTATTTTAGTAACCCTCTTCATCAAATTTGTTAGCTCGTCTATCATTTAGGGGTCGATAAATTATAGCCTCAATAATAGTATAGGTATAAATCAAGAGATATCAATCGTTTGACACATAACACAATTTATTTTTACAATGAATTCTATTAATATCATATTTACCTAATAAGAATGAAAATGAAAATCATATTTAAAAGATCAAAGAAATTGATTCTCCTAAAAAAGAAAATTAAACTTCAATTTAGGACGAGACCCACTAAGTTAAGAATAATCATCATGATCAATAGAGGGAACAACACTCATTTTCTACATTCCTACCAAGTAAAAACCTAATTTCCATCAATTTTTTATACAAAGAGAAAATAGAAACACTTCTTTGAAAAATGAAACAAAATCTAAAACTATAAGAAACCGATATTTCTACATCTTATTTTAAAAAAATGATAATCATTCTTATCAATACAACATAACCAACATAGATATATGGTATTTATTAATTTTGGTAAACCAATAATATAAATGAACACTACCAATCCTCTTGAGAAAATAAGGAATTGGTTATTGCTCATTTACTTTCAAGAACTCGTATACACTAAACTCGAAGTCTTATCCATTGATAGATGGAACTTCAACCACAGTTAGGTGTAGAGGGAAGCTGTGAGCATTACTTTCATGCATAACTTCCATACCAAGATTAACACACTTAATAATATTAGCCTATATATAAATTACACGACCTTAACTATCAACTACAGATTGGTTGAAATTAAAACCATTTAAGTTGAAAGTTTAAAACGGTGAACGAGATACCTCCTGCAAGCCAAGCAGCTAGGAAGAAATGTAAAGAACAAAGAATTGTTGAAACTAGTTATCTTGATCCTCTATTTTTAACAGTATTTAAATGCTCACTTGTCAACTACAATTGTTTAGCTTTTTAAAAATTTCTTTTTATACATGATCAGTAAAAGACAGCGTTAGATCAGTAAACAACCAAACATTTTTATTTCAAATCAAACATAAAACTCTAGAATCTTTTGAAGCAAGGCACCATAAAATTGTTCAACTACCTCACCATAAGCATCAAATATTTGGGGATTCATTGCCCTATTTTGTAGGCAAAGTGAGGGAGTTCCAACTTCCAACTCACATCATCATATCATACACTTTCAAATTCAACATAAATTAATGATGGGCCAAGCTGGCCCAATTTCATAGGTCACAAAATCATTTTTTATTTTTTATTTTCTTTTTAGAAAGAAAATAATAATGATAGAGAAAATTATGAGAGAGAGAGAGAGAGAGGGTCAAGGGACAGTTTGGTCTTGTTTTGACCAACATAATACAATACAACTGCCCACAACAGATGCTGACAAAATCACCATAAAAAGCACTTAACATTAAGACACCCATTAATTTAATGCCAAAATGCAATTAGTGCCTTTTTAAAAAGCCCCATTTTTTAACCTTAAAAAAAAAAAAAGGGTAATGGACCCCTAATTCCTGCCTTTTGAGTTTTTGTTTGATGGGTCTAGATTCTGTCATGTTGTTTTGTGAGCTGTATTTATTATAATTATTCTTATTATCTTGGACAAATATTCTAATACATAACAAAATAAATTAAATAAAAAAAAAGTATGCTTCTAATCATTAATGTTTCAAGAGATTAGACACTTTTAATAAGACCATAAACAAAAGTTCATAAATTTTCTATAAATAGAATTCCTTCATTAGGTTAAATATTTTCTTAGCTAGCCCTCGTAATACTTTAATTTTTGTTATATTTTTTTAGTATTTATACTTTAAAGTTAAGAATCATGTTGTCTATCTATCATGTATATATTCAATTCACTCAATTAATTTAAATTGTATATTTTTTTATCATCTGTCTTTCATGCGGTATTAAATAGTTAATAGACATGTCATTTGGTATATTTTACTGGATTTGTATTTTGGAAAACATCTTTAGCCTTCATAATAGAAAAATAGATATTATAAGAAAGTATATTTAAAAGATAAAGGCGAAAGTTTGTAAAAGTGAAAACCGTTATCATTCAGCTTCGACTAGAGAATATAATTTATCTAGATTTCACCTTTCATTTCATTTTTTAAATACAAATTTTGTCTTGATAATAAAAGGATAAGAAAATAAATTATGAAGCAATGAATGATTTTTATTAACAAAAAATGAAAAAAAAAAAAGGAACTCAATATCCATGTGGAGTGAGATAGAGACATAAAGGAGACAAAGATGAAACTTTTCTAATCTCTCTACTTTATGATGACTCTCATAAATCTAAATATTAATGAAAAAATATGTGTTACATTGTGGATTTTTTTGGCAGATACACCAACCAGAAAAACAAAAACTAGCCTAATTGCTCTCTATTTTTTTTTTTTTTACTTTTTCAATAAGAGTAAATTTGACCTAAATAATAGGAAATTTAATCACATGATAAAATACTTCACAAATGTAATAGCCCCTATAACTTTCTAAACAAAAAAAAAGTGATATACTATATTTGTGAAGTATCAATGACATATTTTATTCAATGATGGATATATGAATCATATACTTTATGACATAAATGGTTTATTGATGATATACTTTATTAATTATGTAAAAATGTTATATTAACGATCTATGAGTAAAAAAATGATTTGCAAATGTGATAATGAGGGATAACGTTATCATTTCTTGTTTCTAGTTTTATTGAGAAATTTAAGTATTTAACAATTATTTATTTCTTGTTTTTCATTTTTAAAAAAAAAAAGTTTATATAAATCGTATAGAACTAGGAAAAACATAATTGCATTTGGAGAAACATGCTTGATAACCTTTCTTCTCTGACATTTTAAATTAAAAAAGGTAAAAGTTTATATGAAAATTAATATTCCAAATTAAACATTCACAATTTTTATGTTATATTTATTATTTATTTGATAGGTAAAAAACAATAAAACAATATTTTTATCTATTTTTTGGAAAAAAAAAAAGAAACAGAATTTTATTTTGTTGTTTCCAAATAAATGTTGAAAACATTTCTTAGAAACGAAAAATTGAAAATAGGAACCAAATGCTCTTGTTTCTCAAAAATTAAATTAAAAACGATGAATAAGAAACAAAAAGCAAGCCTAATTATTTAGGTTTAAATACTATTTTAATCCTTGTACTATCAGCATTAATTCATTTTAGTCCCTGTCATTTTAATTTGGTCCCTATACTTTTAAAAATTAACCATTTTAATCCAGAAAATTTTAACATAAATCCTATACATAACAAAAACTCTTTAATTTAAAATTATGACTACATTTCAAGAATTGTGATCGGAAAAAACAGAGATAAAAAGTAAAATGAATGGACCAAAACGATCACTTATCATTGTGAAAGTACGGATGATAAAATGGACTAAAGTTAGAAATAGAGGGACCAAAATGAACAACTTAAAATAGAGGGATCAAAATGAACAAAAACTAAAAGCATGTGGACCAAAATAGTATTTTAACCTTGTTTTTATTATTTATCCATTTTTGTAGCAGGAGGGTTTGTTTGGATTTCGTTGAAACCGATGTTTAACCATTGAATTTGATGGACCTTAATGGAAGATCATAACAAAACAGACCCTCTTGGCCCCCTCTATCCTTCAATTTCTTCAAACAACTCCACCCCATTATCCACTTCCCCTCCAACAGAATTCCTTGCTGTTTATAAATATAATATCTAGAATTAGCAAACTAGACTCGACTTTGTTTTGTTCTTTTCTTTTCACGAAGAACCAAGCTTTCATCGAGAAAAGAATGAAAGAGACCAGAGAAAACCCACCACTAGAATTAGCAAACTAGACTCGATTTCTTAATCCTATCTGCAACCAAACATCTTGATTGAACCTTTAAGATCAGAGGGGCCAAGAAACTTCCACATATGTTTTATACCATAGATCCACAGTCTACACTACATTTTCTCTAACATTCCATTGTAGTTCAGTACTACCATCATGTCTAATGATGTAATGGAAGAACCATGATTATGGAGCAATTGCAGCCGTAGGAGAAGTAGAAATGAAATTTCTTATTCATCATTAAGAAACACTATAGTGTCTCTAACAGCAGGCCAAATTGAATCTCTTTTCTAACTTTTCCCACTTCTAATCTGGCAAAATCTATAGACTTAGCGGTTAAATCGACTACAGGGATGCATTCTCAAACTTTTACAGCTTGCAAACTAAATCTACTACGTATAGAACTTTCACATCCTGTAAAGTTCCGAAGCGATATCAATGATAACGGCTGAGGAAACTATTTACAGGATTCAATGCATGTGAGTCAGCATATTAAGCATACATGAATTATATCAAAGGGAATCCAGCTCTAGCACCACTTTACCAGGAATGAGGTTCTTATCCTTCGCGTTGTGGGCTTCTCTCACTTGTGAGATGGGAAATGTTTTCTCGACTGGTATTTTCAGCTTTCCAGCTTCACATAGCTTCCTGATCTCATGTAAACCTTCAGAATCCGCCCTCATGTATGTCCACCAATACTCTAAAAACAATAGTAGGAACAACAGAAACAACAATTAAACAACAGCTGCATGAAGTTGATTGATATGTGCTTATACATACTGTAAGAGCCACACTGATGTCGTGATTCACCTTGAAACAATCGATGTCACTGATTAAGATAATCTAGAACATTATATTTTCTGTGGAAAAATGTGCATGAACAGACAAATTTCAGTTTCCAGAAGAGAGAATAAAAGTTCATCTAGGATATTATATGTATGTTGTTATGATAAAAGGTTGGCCCGATAAAGGGACTGGAATTGTGAACTAGAGATTTGAGAACTTGATCGAGATCAAACAGACAAATTCAGTTTCCAGAAGAGTGAATAAAAGTTCATCTAGGATATTATATGTATGTTGTAATGATAAAGGGTTGGCCCGATAAGGGACTGGAATTGTGAACTTGAGATTTGAGAACTTGATCAAGATCAAACAGACAAATACAGTTTCCAGAGAGTGAATACAAGTTCATCTAGGATATTATATGTATGTTGTAATGATAAAAGGTTGGCCCGATAAGGGGACTGGAATTGTGAACTTGAGATTTGAGAACATGATCGAGATCAAACAGGCAAATTCAGTTTCCAGAAGAATGAATAAAAGTTCATCTAGGATATTATATGTATGTTGTAATGATAAAAGGTTGGCCCGATAAAGGGACTGGAATTGTGAACTTGAGATTTGAGAACATGATCGAGATCAAACAGGCAAATTCAGTTTCCAGAAGAATGAATAAAAGTTCATCTAGGATATTATATGTATGTTGTAATGATAAAAGGTTGGCTCGATAAAGGGACCGGAATTGTGAACTTGAGAACATGATCGAGATCAAAGTGGAAATTACTATCGACAGAGGTTACATATTTGGGGAGATTCACCTGCGCAAGCTCCCAAGTCCCAACATCTCCTACTAATCAACTCTACCAGAAAGTTCTCCCCCCTCTTTCCCTTCTATTATACTTCCTCACAATTATTGGTAGTTCCATATTACGAGATTCTCTCCAGCCCTTACTCTACTCATGCCATATTTGCCTCCTCTTCCCCTTCCAATTTTAAGGTTGATGAATTGGAGGCCTATTAAAATATATTCTACTTCTCTTAACTCTGAGCCAAGGAAAGATGAATTCATATCCGATGAATAAATATTTTCTTTTTATGAATTCATATCCGATGAATAAATATTTTCTTTCTTTCTTTTAAAGGGCAGAATTAGATTGGGCGATCGTAATCTTGTATTAATAAGTATGACAAGGTTTAACTCCATATATATGCTTTCAAAACAAACTTTCTAGAACTGAATTGAGAAACATAGCAATAGTATTATTGGTAACCTTCAAGGCATGGGTTAAGCAAAATGAGAAGTATTAGTCCTCCAAAACAAATGGTGAAGGGAATATGTACATCTAAGGCAATATCATAGGTTTTGTCCTAGTATTCATAATGCACGTCCAATATGGATTTCATTGGCAACAATAGGACTGTTCAACTTCTGAAAGGGCTAAGAAACTTGCTCTTATAACAACTTAAGCTCAAGAATACAATTAAAAAGAGGAGAAAAAAAAGGCAAGCTTAAGCACAAGAAACTAGGAGACTGAGGTCCTTTAAAATATTAATGCATTCTGACCATCCTTATTCACATATAAATTGATAGGGAAAATTTCAAGCAGGAGGGAACACAATGTTGAAAATGTAAGTGAAGTACACAAATTTTGATTATTACCGATTCCATGAGAGTATCTATACTGTATCTGTTTCTTCGCCAATACACTTGTAGCTATAGGGAGCCCGAAAAGTAGCCCATATTTATCAGTGAATGATGCAGCCTCACCCTGAAAAAATGGGAATTAAAAGCATGAATGTGAAGAGCACTTCAATTACTTCGAGAAAGATTGGTTAGCTCTATACCTGAAGTGTCATATAGTGTCCACCTCTCTTCAAAAGACTGATGCCAATTCGTTCAGTATCTGGCGCACCAATGGTATCCAAAACAGCATCAAATTTCCCCTTTATTACCAATTCAATGTCCTATAAATATTCATGTCGAGCCAAAAAAGAAAATTATTCAAGCTCCCAGCTTCCAAATGCAAACCATCCATGCAATCCAATAACATTGGCAAGATAGTAAATAAATATGGTGACGAACAGACTGGCTACTGTATGAACCATCACCTCGGTAGTATAGTCAACTGCTTGCTCAGCACCTGCTGCAAGTAATTTATCTATACTTTGACTTCCACAAGTAGTTGTGACGTGGCAGCCTGAAGCAACTGAAATCTGAACTGCAGCAGAACCTACGGCTCCTCCACCACCAATTACTAATACCCTATGCCTGCCACAAAAGAAGATTAGATTTTAAGGAAAATCACCAAAAAGAATCCTATCAAAAGAATACAAACTACAAATAAGATTATTTAATATATTTTCAATACAGAACAGTGAAATCACAGAAAGTGTAATTCAAAAACGAAATACAATTATCTTTTTTTTTCTTCTCTTTATAAGAAACTGAACATTTCATTATCAAAAGAGGTACAAAAGGATGGAGATGAGCTATCCCCATCAAGCCAAGAGGATTACAAAAAGGCTTCCCGGTCGGCATAAATTTGAGAAAAATGTAATTACAAAACAAATTTGAAAGAGAGCACTAAGAAAAAGCAAAGATTTTGACTAGATCCCAAAAATGAAATACAATTATCATAGATATTATATGATGATTAATATATTCAGTTGGAACAAAACGCAGAAACTAATAGAACAAAGTAAACATACCCCTGGGTGATTCTAGCAGTACTTTTTAGAGCCCGCCATGCAGTCAGTGCAGCAAAAGGAATGGCACTTGCCTCCTGATAGAACAAAAAAATTGCAAAATGAAGTAAAATGGCAGGGTATATTCTTTTTTTATTAGGTAGGACTGCTTGTCCTATCTTTCATGAATGAATTCTCTCTCATTGAAGTATAAGGATAAAAAGCTATGTGAAATGAAAAACCGATTAACTAAATATAATCTAGTTGTAGAATGAGAGTACTACCAGGTTTACATGACACATCAAAAATCTAACCAACCAACAATCTAACACCAATTTATTTCACTTAATAAGGATATTTAACGATTACTTATATGCAGTGGCGTCTCTCTTAACAATAACCCTGTCCCGATGAATGTTAGAATTTGAAGTCAATTTTTAGTTGAAATACTTGTTAAGAAGTAGGTTAACAAGTGATTAATTTTTTCTCCAATTGCTGTAATATTCTCAGTCAATTTGGGAAGGAGATTTTGTCGTTCAATAAACCTTATCACAAATAATCCAAGGGACAGTAAATGCTTGACACCTCAACCCCTTCATTCCCCCTAATGCTTTCAAAAAGAAATGACCTTTCTCTCCTTGATTATACCTGAAAATGACAGTCGTAGAATAAAGATAACCGTGTAATTTTTTGTTTAAGTCTGTTGTTTGTTGGATTAGCTTGTTAATTGGTTGCAGTAATAGTTAGATTGTTAGGTAAGAAGTTTACTAGTCTTGTTTTTTAGTTAGACAAGCTTATTTCATTAGAGAGTTTATATTCTCTACAAATAGGACAGATTGCTTGTTAACAAGGACAAAGTCAAGGAAAACCTCTAAAATTATTTCAATATTGAACCTTAGACATATGATAGTTCTAAACCAAATTTCACTAGGAAGTAGATCTTCTATTTGTCTCATGGCAGCCTGCTCTACTTTTCTTATGAAACTTCAATTATTGGGTCAGCTATACAGTTCACATGTTTCTGGAAATTCACATGGCATTTGATACAAGTCTAATGCACTAGAACACCTTTTGAGCGAAATAAAATTTCTATGAATGGTCTTAGAGATTTAGATGGTAGGTTGCATAATTTAGGCAGAATAATGTACCTAAGTCCAATGGGTGTCAACCAACAAAGGCTTAAAAGTCTTGATGACGAGGATTGCAGAAAAGCTTCATGATACTATGCTCAATATCAATAAGTGAATAAAAAACCTCCAGATACCACCAGAAAGGTTCACCTCCGCCAAAAGAAAAATAAGTGTTTTTTTTTTAAGAAACGATGCTTTCATTGTCAAAAAATGACATTACAAAAAAGGGGAGATGAGATATTCTTGCAAGCCAAAGATTCAGAAAAAGGACTCTCAATTGGCAAAGATTTGTCGCTCCAAATAAAAGTTAATTGGAACCAGAATTTGAAAGGAAAAATTATGGAGACATGCTATGTGTGTTCCTAACAGATTGGGAAAACATACAAAGGCATGCGACTCCCACTATTCATTACTCAAAATTTTCCTAATCTCGAACTCCCTAACTAACTCTACTAACTCTACATATAACTAAATCCACTCTAACAAACTCTCAAGTTAATTACTAATATGCCCGCAATAATGTTCCTAACATTTTCCTCCACTTTGATTGGTACAAAAACTTTCAAGTCTTGAGTGAGAATTACATCTGAATTTCCCCAAATAAAAGCTAATGAAGAAACACAGCATAACCACGTAGAAACTTACAGCCACACAAAAGTTTGCAGGATGAATAAATAGATTAGGCTAAACAAGAAAGAACGTTAGACCATGGATTAGAAAAATTAAATACACAACACCAAGAGGACCAAACAGAAACAGTAAATGAATATTCAAGAGAAATCACAAGGAGGCACTTCAATGATTACCACATGTGTAAATGACACTGGTTTAGCACTTAATTCATCGTCTGAAAGTATTGCATAATCAGCGTAAGTACCCCTCACAGCAGTTGGATGCAGAGCACCAAAAACTTCTTCTCCAACACTTACTGAACGAACTGAAGAACCAACAGCCGCAACTTCACCACTGATATCACGGCCCAAAATGACCGGTAGAAGTGGTTCAAATATTGAGCGACCATAACCTGATCGCATCTGGGAAACATTAAGACCCCAAAAGTTATGATTTCATTTAGTTTCAGTACCAAATAGCCACTCAAAATTCCAAGCAAACGCAGTAAAAACCGACCGAATAAAGAAAAAGTAAAAAACAGTCCCCCTCAAGTCATATGCTATAAATTACCAAGAACGGTGAAATCTAGCAACACCCATTTCAATTTTCTTGGAAACATTCGTTTCCAAGCTCAGGCAATCACAGACAAAGCAAAACCAAAACCGGAAGAGACACAAAAGAAGGTAATCTGACTCTGGTATCAAGCGGGTTGATGGAAACAGCACGAGCACGG